ATTGATATTTGAGTGATAAGATTTTGTGATACAATTGCTGTCGAATATCTGTCAGGGGAGACTGATAGCACTGTTATTGGAAGTAATGAGTGACCTGCATGGTTAGCTCTGAATGTCAGACACTTGCTCTCTAGGGTATCTCCTCATGTACACCACAGACTGGGCAACATGACTGGGTGTGTGTGTACCTCACTGTGCCAAACAGTGCCTCTGTACAGACACTTGCCTTCACACTTTCTCTGTACAGACACTTGCCTCACAGTGCCTCTGTACAGACACTTGCCTCACAGTTTCTCTGTACAGACACTTGCCTTCACAGTTTCTCTGTACAGACACTTGCCTCACAGTTTCTCTGTACAGACACTTGCCTCAGTTTCTCTGTACAGACACTTGCCTCACAGTTTCTCTGTACAGACACTTGCCTCACAGTTTCTCTGTACAGACTTGCCTCACAGTGCCTCTGTACAGACACTTGCCTCACAGTTTCTCTGTACAGACTTGCCTCACAGTGCCTCTGTACAGACACTTGCCTCACAGTTTCTCTGTACAGACACTTGCCTCACAGTTTCTCTGTACAGACACTTGCCTCACACTTTCTCTGTACAGACACTTGCCTCACAGTTTCTCTGTACAGACACTTGCCTTCACAGTTTCTCTGTACAGACACTTGCCTCACAGTTTCTCTGTACAGACACTTGCCTCAGTTTCTCTGTACAGACACTTGCCTCACAGTTTCTCTGTACAGACACTTGCCTCACAGTTTCTCTGTACAGACTTGCCTCACAGTGCCTCTGTACAGACACTTGCCTCACAGTTTCTCTGTACAGACTTGCCTCACAGTGCCTCTGTACAGACACTTGCCTCACAGTTTCTCTGTACAGACACTTGCCTCACAGTTTCTCTGTACAGACACTTGCCTCACACTTTCTCTGTACAGACACTTGCCTCACAGTTTCTCTGTACAGACACTTGCCTCACAGTTTCTCTGTACAGACACTTGCCTTCACAGTTTCTCTGTACAGACACTTGCCTCACAGTTTCTCTGTACAGACACTTGCCTCACAGTTTCTCTGTACAGACACTTGCCTCACACTTTCTCTGTACAGACACTTGCCTCACAGTTTCTCTGTACAGACACTTGCCTCACAGTGCCTCTGTACAGACACTTGCCTCAGTTTCTCTGTACAGACACTTGCCTCACAGTTTCTCTGTACAGACACTTGCCTCACAGTTTCTCTGTACAGACTTGCCTCACAGTGCCTCTGTACAGACACTTGCCTCACAGTTTCTCTGTACAGACTTGCCTCACAGTGCCTCTGTACAGACACTTGCCTCACAGTTTCTCTGTACAGACACTTGCCTCACAGTTTCTCTGTACAGACACTTGCCTCACACTTTCTCTGTACAGACACTTGCCTCACAGTTTCTCTGTACAGACACTTGCCTTCACAGTTTCTCTGTACAGACACTTGCCTCACAGTTTCTCTGTACAGACACTTGCCTCAGTTTCTCTGTACAGACACTTGCCTCACAGTTTCTCTGTACAGACACTTGCCTCACAGTTTCTCTGTACAGACTTGCCTCACAGTGCCTCTGTACAGACACTTGCCTCACAGTTTCTCTGTACAGACTTGCCTCACAGTGCCTCTGTACAGACACTTGCCTCACAGTTTCTCTGTACAGACACTTGCCTCACAGTTTCTCTGTACAGACACTTGCCTCACACTTTCTCTGTACAGACACTTGCCTCACAGTTTCTCTGTACAGACACTTGCCTCACAGTTTCTCTGTACAGACACTTGCCTTCACAGTTTCTCTGTACAGACACTTGCCTCACAGTTTCTCTGTACAGACACTTGCCTCAGTTTCTCTGTACAGACACTTGCCTCACACTTTCTCTGTACAGACACTTGCCTCACAGTTTCTCTGTACAGACACTTGCCTCACAGTGCCTCTGTACAGACACTTGCCTCACAGTTTCTCTGTACAGACACTTGCCTCACAGTGCCTCTGTACAGACACTTGCCTCACAGTTTCTCTGTACAGACACTTGCCTCACAGTTTCTCTGTACAGACTTGCCTCACAGTGCCTCTGTACAGACACTTGCCTCACAGTTTCTCTGTATAGACACTTGCCTCACAGATTCTCTGTACAGACACTTGCCTCACGGTTTCTCTGTACAGACACTTGCCTCACAGATTCTCTGTACAGACACTTGCCTCACAGTTTCTCTGTACAGACACTTGCCTCACAGTTTCTCTGTACAGACACTTGCCTTCACAGTTTCTCTGTACAGACACTTGCCTCACAGTTTCTCTGTACAGACACTTGCCTCAGTTTCTCTGTACAGACACTTGCCTCACAGTGCCTCTGTACAGACACTTGCCTCACAGTTTCTCTGTACAGACACTTGCCTCACAGTTTCTCTGTACAGACTTGCCTCACAGTGCCTCTGTACAGACACTTGCCTCACAGTTTCTCTGTACAGACTTGCCTCACAGTGCCTCTGTACAGACACTTGCCTCACAGTTTCTCTGTACAGACACTTGCCTCACAGTTTCTCTGTACAGACACTTGCCTCACACTTTCTCTGTACAGACACTTGCCTCACAGTTTCTCTGTACAGACACTTGCCTCACAGTTTCTCTGTACAGACTTGCCTCACAGTGCCTCTGTACAGACACTTGCCTCACAGTTTCTCTGTACAGACACTTGCCTCACAGATTCTCTGTACAGACACTTGCCTCACGGTTTCTCTGTACAGACACTTGCCTCACAGATTCTCTGTACAGACACTTGCCTCACAGTTTCTCTGTACAGACACTTGCCTCACAGTTTCTCTGTACAGACACTTGCCTCACAGTGCCTCTGTACAGACATTGCACTATTTCACAAACTTGCAATGCCTCTCTAGGTAACTCTGTATATGATGGAAAAATGTTCTTTGTTTGTTAGCTCTCGACAAATGGATGGAAATAGTGATTTTGTATAGGTAATTAATATTTCTTTTCTTGCTGACATTTTGAATTGCAATATTTTAAATGTCAAACAAGGAATGTCAATCCCAGTAAGAGAATATGTCTCTCTCTACCAGTCCAGTGATCTGTAGACATGTTCAGGAGTGTGCCTCGTCTAGTGTCGGGAAAGAACGTCTGTTTTGTATTTTATGACAAGTCAAGTGGATGTCATATCTCTCTCAGCAGGAGTAGTGCTAATTCCTGGCTGCACAGCTACTCTCTGCGGGGATCAAGTGCTGTAAACCTGCAGACGGGGATATGTCGGCACCTTCGCCATGTTCAATACTGTTTTACACTGCGCAGATGTCGCTGACAGGTAGAGATGGTCTGTGAAAATCAGAAAGGAATTACATGTCAATAGTTATTTCTGTTACTGGTTTGTGTGGATTTTTGTCAATATTTATTGTATGGTTTGGTATGTTTTGGGGGCAGGGGTTAAACGTTGTGATGATGTTTCTTGGTGGGACAATGCAGGTCATAAGGTATGATTACCTGAGAAACACAACAGTATTTTAGTTTGTCCCCACCTCAATAATTAGTGTGTAATACATGGAAATATGTACCTGAAAGTACACTAAGATATACCTGAACACTAAGATGTACCATGCATACCTGAAGGTCCACTAAGATATACCTGAACACTAAGATATACCTGAATGTACACTAAGATATACCTGAACACTAAGATATACCTGAAGGTACACTAAGATGTATCTGAACACTAAGATATACCTGAACACTAAGATATACCTGAATGTACACTAAGATATACCTGAACACTAAGATGTACCTGAATGTACACTAAGATATACCTGAACACTAAGATGTACCTGAACGCTAAGATATACCTGAACACTAAGATATACCTGAAGGTACACTAAGATGTATCTGAACACTAAGATGTACCTGAACACTGAGATGTACCTGAAGATACACTAAGATATACCTGAAGGTACACTAAGATGTATCTGAACACTAAGATGTACCTGAAGATATACTAAGGTAAACCTGAACACTAAGATGTACCTGAAGGTCCACTAAGATGTACCTGAACACTGAGATATACCTGAAGATACACTAAGATATACCTGAAGGTACACTAAGATGTATCTGAACACTAAGATGTACCTGAAGATATACTAAGGTAAACCTGAAGGTACACTAAGATGTATCTGAACACTAAGATATACCTGAAGATATACTAAGGTAAACCTGAACACTGAGACGTACCTGAAGATACACTAAGATGTATCTGAACACTAAGATATACCTGAAGGTACACTAAGATGTACCTGAACACTAAGATGTACCTGAAGATACACTAAGATATACCTGAAGGTACACTAAGATATACCTGAAGGTACACTAAGATGTATCTGAACACTAAGATGTACCTGAAGATATACTAAGGTAAACCTGAACACTAAGATGTACCTGAAGATATACTAAGATATACCTGAACACTAAGATGTACCTGAAGATATACTAAGATATACCTGAACACTAAGATGTACCTGAAAGTACACTAAGATATACATGGAAGTGCTCATTTGATAAGCAAAGATATACCTACATAATCTAGTTGCATAAATTGCATCATTGTTCGAGTCACAAATAACACAAATCAAGTACAATTTCAACTAATATACAATTCCAAGACTAGCACAATGACTTGTACATATTATAAAAAGTTATTTGATAAAAGATAATTCCAAATGCTTTTGGCTACCTATAATATTGGCTTGACTTCTTGGTTTTGCCACTGGCTACCTGGAAAAAAAATGCCTGAGCCATATGGCTACTTGTTAAAAATTTAAACTTTGAGGCTTGACTAAGATATACCATATATACCTGAAGATATACTAAGATATACCTGAAGATATAATGAGATAAGCCTGAAGATACAATCACTCACTCTCACTCTCCAAGTTTGTGTTTAATGTTGAAATTGTAGAAGTAAATAATTTGTATTTTTGTTTCAGAATTCAAGATGATAAACTTTTTTCCAGTAGCATTAGATTGGATCCTGCTATGCTGGACTTTCAACAACAGTGAGTTGACTTCCTCACATATTTGTACAGTTCCTTCATCAGCTGTCATTTAGGGAGCACCCATTGGATTTCAGGGGGTGTGAGGGTGATTTTGTTTTTATATGAAAAGTTTGATCAGAAATATGACCAAAATGAATAGTTTTATGGCAGTGGAGGAAAAAAATGAATAGTTTGTTTAGATTTTCAGTTTAAAAAAGGACCGCTGTGTCTGTGTGAAATGTCAATAGGTGCAAAATAGTTTGTGGAAAAAAACCATATGTCAAAAAGTGTCTGTTATTAGTTTGATTTACAATAAATAGACTGTTTCATGGTGATTACACTGATTAGTGAAGAAATAAGTTGTTGGAAGTAGCTGGGGGAAGAAAGATTGTACTCACTCATAAGAAGTCTCTTCTTCTTTCCCCCCACGCCCCTCCCCCCTCCCTGCAGGGCTATATATTGTCATGTTTATCATATGAGGCTCTATATGGTGTCATATGAATCATATCAGGGTCTATACTTGTTATATGTATCATGCTGGGCTATATCTTGTCAAATGTAACATATAGGGGCTATATCTTTTAATGTTTATCATATGGGGTTCTATATCTTGTCACATGTATCAATACTATCATATGGGGAGCTATTTCTTGTCACATGTATCAATACTATCATATGGGGAGCTATGTCTTGTCATATGTATCAATACTATCATATGGGGTGCTATGTCTTGTCATATGTATCAATACTATCATATGGGGAGCTATGTCTTGTCACATGTATCAATACTATCATATGGGGGGCTATGTCTTGTCATATGTATCAATACTATCATATGGGGTGCTATGTCTTGTCATATGTATCAATACTATCATATGGGGTGCTATGTCTTGTCATATGTATCAATACTATCATATGGGGGCCTATGTCTTGTCATATGTATCAATACTATCATATGGGGTGCTATGTCTTGTCATATGTATCAATACTATCATATGGGGTGCTATGTCTTGTCATATGTATCAATACTATCATATGGGGTGCCATCGCATCCTTGGTCAGGTATGAGTATTATATATTATGTAGCATAGAATGGACAGATATCATGTTTTGAGTTCAATTGTTTTGACACCATGATAAACATTGTAGCATGTGCCCTATGTCCCTTTATGGTTTCCCCATCACGGGCCAGACTTGCTGATGTATTGTATGCTAACTCTCTGGACAACATGACAATGCTCTACAGACTGATGTTCTATTTTTTTCAGGCCAGTTGGAATGCCGCGTATGGAAAGAGTCATAGTTCAAAATAATGACCCTAAAAATAGTTTACACTTAGTGTCAATATCAGGCAGTACAGTGCATTTTCATTGCTCATTTTTTCAAGATAAAGTAAGTGTGTTTCCTTCACTTTATTTCTTGATTATATGTTTGAAAGCAAGTTACACTCCTACTGATAGAAGTCTGATATTCTCTTGTTTTTGATACAAGTTTATATAGTGAATTGCAATTAATTGGAACTACTCTACCAGAACTATATCAGTCTTAAAACAGCTGTATGGTTTAAGTCAATGGTTAACCTATGACACGTTATGTAATGTCAGGTGTATGTTATATCCAGTGTGTTTAATGTCAGGTGTGTGTTATATCCAGTGTGTTTAATGTCAGGTGTGTGTTATATCCAGTGTGTTTAATGTCAGGTGTGTGTTATATCCAGTGTGTTTAATGTCAGGTGTATGTTATATCCAGTGTGTTTAATGTCAGGTGTATGTTATATCCAGTGTGTTTAATGTCAGGTGTGTGTTATATCCAGTGTGTTTAATGTCAGGTGTATGTTATATCCAGTGTGTTTAATGTCAGGTGTGTGTTATATCCAGTGTGTTTAATGTCAGGTGTGTGTTATATCCAGTGTGTTTAATGTCAGGTGTATGTTATATCCAGTGTGTTTAATGTCAGGTGTATGTTATATCCAGTGTGTTTAATGTCAGGTGTATGTTATATCCAGTGTGTTTAATGTCAGGTGTGTGTTATATCCAGTGTGTTTAATGTCAGGTGTGTGTTATATCCAGTGTGTTTAATGTCAGGTGTATGTTATATCCAGTGTGTTTAATGTCAGGTGTATGTTATATCCAGTGTGTTTAATGTCAGGTGTATGTTATATCCAGTGTGTTTAATGTCAGGTGTATGTTATATCCAGTGTGTTTAATGTCAGGTGTATGTTATATCCAGTGTGTTTAATGTCAGGTGTGTGTTATATCCAGTGTGTTTAATGTCAGGTGTGTGTTATATCCAGTGTGTTTAATGTCAGGTGTATGTTATATCCAGTGTGTTTAATGTCAGGTGTATGTTATATCCAGTGTGTTTAATGTCAGGTGTATGTTATATCCAGTGTGTTTAATGTCAGGTGTGTGTTATATCCAGTGTGTTTAATGTCAGGTGTGTGTTATATCCAGTGTGTTTAATGTCAGGTGTATGTTATATCCAGTGTGTTTAATGTCAGGTGTATGTTATATCCAGTGTGTTTAATGTCAGGTGTATGTTATATCCAGTGTGTTTAATGTCAGGTGTATGTTATATCCAGTGTGTTTAATGTCAGGTCTATGTTATATCCAGTGTGTTTAATGTCAGGTGTGTGTTATATCCAGTGTGTTTAATGTCAGGTGTATGTTATATCCAGTGTGTTTAATGTCAGGTGTATGTTATATCCAGTGTGTTTAATGTCAGGTGTGTGTTATATCCAGTGTGTTTAATGTCAGGTGTATGTTATATCCAGTGTGTTTAATGTCAGGTGTATGTTATATCCAGTGTGTTTAATGTCAGGTGTATGTTATATCCAGTGTGTTTAATGTCAGGTGTATGTTATATCCAGTGTGTTTAATGTCAGGTGTGTGTTATATCCAGTGTGTTTAATGTCAGGTGTGTGTTATATCCAGTGTGTTTAATGTCAGGTGTATGTTATATCCAGTGTGTTTAATGTCAGGTGTATGTTATATCCAGTGTGTTTAATGTCAGGTGTATGTTATATCCAGTGTGTTTAATGTCAGGTGTGTGTTATATCCAGTGTGTTTAATGTCAGGTGTATGTTATATCCAGTGTGTTTAATGTCAGGTGTGTGTTATATCCAGTGTGTTTAATGTCAGGTGTATGTTATATCCAGTGTGTTTAATGTCAAGTGTGTGTACAGCATTAGAAATTGGCACTAGTCCTATAGTCCTTGCCAAACTGGCATCTTACAGACTAGTAGCAATTTGCCATTACTGAGGGTTTTGCTATATGTTGTCATGATAAGAACTAGTACCGTATATGACCGCAAATGAGCCGACCCCGTAGATAAGCCGAGGTGTTAACTTGACCATTGAAATACGAAAGAAAATGATATGACCCGCAGATAAGCCGAACCAGGAAGTGAAAGGCAAAAAACACTGCGAAGTCGGACTGCAAGACATGTGCTGATTCTCGCAGATATTCAAAAATATAAGATGAAAAAAAGTTGTTATTATATTGAAAAAATCATTATTATTTCTAATAAAGATTTAACAAACCAGTCATCCACTTTCATAATGTGGGAAGCTGGTTCTCTTGTCTTTCTTAATCTCATAATGATCGATATATGTTGCCATCAACAACGAAGCGCCATTTTGTGAATCGGTGTATATAGAATTATGAATCCGTGAGAAAATATATCAGCTAGAGCGAAGACTTGCAGTTTGAATTCAGCATCGTAAGCATGGCGTTTTCATTTCAAACTCATGATGAGAATGTCAGTTAGTAAAAATATACCAACTTTTATACCCCCTTTATACCACTATTGTATGTTAATCCAATTGAATTAAATAAACTATGAACACATTGAATGAACATCACTTACTCACAGGCTTCTCCAGTTTATTAAACTAATCTCTCGAAAACAAAGGAATTAAGTCCCTACTCCCAACACGATCGCTAAGCACCTACAACTTGAAAATGTTTGTGTAAACAACATGACAATACCAATCGGCCCATTATTATCAGTGCTCATTTCCTTGTGTACCGTGTTGCTTTTTAAACAACAGGAAGCAATCACAGTGGTCACCGTTTGTGACGTCACAGGAAACAGCTGATCACATGTTTTTTGCAAATGGCGAACGGAATAACTCGCCATTACAGTTGTTTATTTGCCTCTTTCAATAAAGGTAGACACTTGTTAACTATCAATTTATGAACTTGGCAAAACGTACATAATAGCTATTGGCAATTTCATCTGGGGATTAAATATTATAGCTGTGAATTACATATATTGTTACATGTAAAGATTGTGGAGTTTATAAAGAACGATAAACTTTGAACATTCAATTGAAAACTTATCATCGGAAGTAGATACATGCATAACATTTTTTTAATAATGACAACATTGGTGTATAATAATGACTTTATTGATAATTTATAACAATAATGGCGGCTCTGGTCGTGGCAACTTCCAAACTTTCGGGAAGTTGTATTCTTCGGACCGTCATTCAGGCGATGTTTCTGACGGATCTAAAAATACGATCTGAAAAATACTATCATGAAAGTGTATCCCGTGGATAAGCCGACCCCTTTCTACAGAATCATTTTTCTGGTCCTCAAAATTCGGCTTATACGCGGTCATATACGGTAGACCAAAGCAGTAAGTTTCTACTGGTGTTCTGTCAGATGTGTGTAATGTCACAAGTGTTGTTTTCAGATTGTTCCCCCTGGGGGAAACACTACATTTGATGTCGTATTTCTGGCCAGACAGGAAGGGAATGTGGAGAATACCTTATATATCCACACCTCCATAGGCTCGTTAAAATACCAGGTGAGAATACTTTACATATCCACACCTCCATAGGCTTGTTAAAATACCAGGTGAGAATACTTTATATATCCACACCTCCATAGGCTCGTTAAAATACCAGGTGAGAATACTTTACATATCCACACCTCCATAGGCTCGTTAAAATACCAGGTGAGAATACTTTACATATCCACACCTCCATAGGCTTGTTAAAATACCAGGTGAGAATACTTTACATATCCACACCTCCATAGGCTTGTTAAAATACCAGGTGAGAATACTTTACATATCCACACCTCCATGGGCTCATTAGAATAACAGGTGAGAACACTTTACATATCCACACCTCCATAGGCTCATTAGAATAACAGGTGAGAATACTTTACATATCCACACCTCCATAGGCTCGTTAAAATACCAGGTGAGAATACTTTACATATCCACACCTCCATAGGCTTGTTAAAATACCAGGTGAGAATACTTTACATATCCACACCTCCATAGGCTTGTTAAAATACCAGGTGAGAATACTTTACATATCCACACCTCCATAGGCTCATTAGAATAACAGGTGAGAACACTTTACATATCCACACCTCCATAGGCTCATTAGAATAACAGGTGAGAATACTTTACATATCCACACCTCCATAGGCTTGTTAAAATACCAGGTGAGAATACTTTACATATCCACACCTCCATGGGCTCATTAGAATAACAGGTGAGAACACTTTACATATCCACACCTCCATAGGCTCGTTAAAATACCAGGTGAGAATACCTTATGTATCAACACCTCCATAGGCTCATTAAAATACCAGGTGAGAACACTTTATGTATCCACATCTTCATAGGCTCATTAGAATAACAGGTGGGAGCCCACTAGCCTGGGACTAGTACAAATTTCCCCACTGTTTAACTTTTCCAAGCAAGGCATTTTATCTTTATCCAGGTTAGTTATGCTTTTGAATTTTGTTCTAACCCAGATATCCCCACCCTGATATAAGTCCATAATATCTAACTATCCAACCTCCATAGGCTCGTTGAAGTACAGGTTGAAGGTGACAATATATCCACACCTCCATAGGTTCACTAAGATACATTCATACACACCGAGGGGCGGTCGGGTAGCCTAGTGGTTAAAGCGTTCGCTCGTCACGCCGAAGACCCGGGTTCGATTCCCGACATGGGTACAATGTGTGAAGCCCATTTGTGGTGTCCCCCGCTGTGATATTGCTGGAATATTGCTAAAAGCGGCTTAAAACCATACTCACTCACTCACTCATACACACCGAACATATCAGATGGGTATATTTGACATATCCACACCTCAAAGGCTTATAAATAATATGTGTTGGTACACTTGGTACACCAGATTGACCCATGTTCTGACATTGATCTCACACTTGGTACTCCAGATTGACCCATGTTCTGACATTGATCTCACACTTGGTACTCCAGATTGACCCATGTTCTGACATTGATCTCACACTTGGTACTCCAGATTGACCCATGTTCTGACATTGATCTCACACTTGGTACACCAGATTGACCCATGTTCTGACATTGATCTCACACTTGTAACTCCAGATTGACCCACGTTCCCGCATTGATCTCACACTTGGTACTCCAGATTGACCCATGTTCTGACATTGATCTCACACTTGGTACTCCAGATTGACCCATGTTCTGACATTGATCTCACACTTGGTACTCCAGATTGACCCATGTTCTGACATTGATCTCACACTTGGTACACCAGATTGACCCATGTTCTGACATTGATCTCACACTTGGTACACCAGATTGACCCATGTTCTGACATTGATCTCACACTTGGTACACCAGATTGACCCATGTTCCCGCATTGATCTCACACTTGTTACTCCAGATTGACCCACGTTCCCGCATTGATCTCACACTTGGTACTCCATATTGACCCATGTTCTGACATTGATCTCACACTTGGTACTCCAGATTGACCCATGTTCTGACATTGATCTCACACTTGTAACTCCAGATTGACCCACGTTCCCGCATTGATCTCACACTTGGTACACCAGATTGACCCATGTTCTGACATTGATCTCACACTTGGTACTCCAGATTGACCCACGTTCCCGCATTGATCTCACACTTGGTACTCCAGATTGACCCATGTTCTGACATTGATCTCACACTTGGTACTCCAGATTGACCCATGTTCTGACATTGATCTCACACTTGGTACACCAGATTGACCCATGTTCTGACATTGATCTCACACTTGTTACTCCAGATTGACCCATGTTCTGACATTGATCTCACACTTGGTACACCAGATTGACCCACGTTCCCGCATTGATCTCACACTTGGTACTCCAGATTGACCCATGTTCTGACATTGATCTCACACTTGGTACTCCAGATTGACCCATGTTCTGACATTGATCTCACACTTGTAACTCCAGATTGACCCATGTTCTGACATTGATCTCACACTTGGTACTCCAGATTGACCCATGTTCTGACATTGATCTCACACTTGGTACACCAGATTGACCCACGTTCTCGCATTGATCTCACACTTGGTACACCAGATTGACCCATGTTCTGACATTGATCTCACACTTGTTACTCCAGATTGACCCATGTTCTGACATTGATCTCACACTTGGTACACCAGATTGACCCATGTTCTGACATTGATCTCACACTTGGTACACCAGATTGACCCATGTTCTGACATTGATCTCACACTTGGTACACCAGATTGACCCATGTTCTGACATTGATCTCACACTTGTTACACCAGATTGACCCATGTTCTGACATTGATCTCACACTTGGTACTCCAGATTGACCCATGTTCTGACATTGATCTCACACTTGGTACTCCAGATTGACCCATGTTCTGACATTGATCTCACACTTGTTACTCCAGATTGACCCATGTTCTGACATTGATCTCACACTTGGTACTCCAGATTGACCCACGTTCCCACATTGATCTCACACTTGTTACACCAGATTGACCCATGTTCCTGCATTGATCTCACACTTGGTACTCCAGATTGACCCATGTTCTGACATTGATCTCACACTTGTAACTCCAGATTGACCCACGTTCCCGCATTGATCTCACACTTGGTACTCCAGATTGACCCATGTTCTGACATTGATCTCACACTTGGTACTCCAGATTGACCCATGTTCTGACATTGATCTCACACTTGTTACTCCAGATTGACCCATGTTCTGACATTGATCTCACACTTGTAACTCCAGATTGACCCATGTTGTGACATTGATCTCACACTTGGTACTCCAGATTGACCCACGTTCCCGCATTGATCTCACACTTGTTACACCAGATTGACCCATGTTCCTGCATTGATCTCACACTTGGTACACCAGATTGACCCATGTTCTGACATTGATCCATGTTCTGACATTGATCTCACACTTGGTACACCAGATTGACCCACGTTCCCGCATTGATCTCACACTTGGTACTCCAGATTGACCCATGTTCTGACATTGATCTCACACTTGGTACTCCAGATTGACCCATGTTCTGACATTGATCTCACACTTGTAACTCCAGATTGACCCATGTTGTGACATTGATCTCACACTTGTTACTCCAGATTGACCCATGTTCTGACATTGATCTCACACTTGGTACACCAGATTGACCCACGTTCTCGCATTGATCTCACTCTTGGTACACCAGATTGACCCATGTTCTGACATTGATCTCACACTTGTTACTCCAGATTGACCCATGTTCTGACATTGATCTCACACTTGGTACTCCAGATTGACCCATGTTCTGACATTGATCTCACACTTGGTACTCCAGATTGACCCATGTTGTGACATTGATCTCACACTTGTTACACCAGATTGACCCATGTTCTGACATTGATCTCACACTTGGTACTCCAGATTGACCCATGTTCTGACATTGATCTCACACTTGGTACTCCAGATTGACCCATGTTCTGACATTGATCTCACACTTGGTACTCCAGATTGACCCACGTTCCCGCATTGATCTCACACTTGTAACTCCAGATTGACCCATGTTCTGACAATGATCTCACACTTGGTACTCCAGATTGACCCATGTTCTGACATTGATCTCACACTTGGTACTCCAGATTGACCCACGTTCCCGCATTGATCTCACACTTGTTACTCCAGATTGACCCATGTTCTGACATTGATCTCACACTTGGTACTCCAGATTGACCCATGTTCCTGCATTGATCTCACACTTGGTACTCCAGATTGACCCACGTTCCCGCATTGATCTCACACTTGTTACACCAGATTGACCCATGTTCTGACATTGATCTCACACTTGTTACACCAGATTGACACATGTTCCTGCATTGATCTCACACTTGGTACTCCAGATTGACCCATGTTCTGACATTGATCTCACACTTGGTACTCCAGATTGACCCACGTTCCCGCATTGATCTCACACTTGTTACACCAGATTGACCCATGTTCTGACATTGATCTCACACTTGTAACTCCAGATTGACCCATGTTCCTGCATTGATCTCACACTTGGTACTCCAGATTGACCCATGTTCTGACATTGATCTCACACTTGTTACTCCAGATTGACCCATGTTCTGACATTGATCTCACACTTGGTACACCAGATTGACCCACGTTCCCGCATTGATCTCACACTTGTTACTCCAGATTGACCCATGTTCTGACATTGATCTCACACTTGGTACTCCAGATTGACCCATGTTCTGACATTGATCTCACACTTGGTACTCCAGATTGACCCACGTTCCCGCATTGATCTCACACTTGTTACACCAGATTGACCCATGTTCCTGCATTGATCTCACACTTGGTACTCCAGATTGACCCATGTTCTGACATTGATCTCACACTTGTAACTCCAGATTGACCCATGTTCTGACATTGATCTCACACTTGTTACTCCAGATTGACCCACGTTCCCGCATTGATCTCACACTTGTTACACCAGATTGACCCATGTTCCTGCATTGATCTCACACTTGGTACTCCAGATTGACCCATGTTCTCGCATTGATCTCACACTTGGTACACCAGATTGACCCACGTTCTGACATTGATCTCACACTTGGTACACCAGATTGACCCACGTTCCCGCATTGATCTCACACTTGTAACTCCAGATTGACCCATGTTCTCGCATTGATCTCACACTTGTTACTCCAGATTGACCCATGTTCTGACATTGATCTCACACTATGTTTCAGGTTTTTGGTGTTGGTATTCCCAACCCGTATCGCCTGAGGCCGTACCTCGGAGCCAGAGTACCCATCAACAGTAGTTTTTCTCCTTTAATTCAAATGCATAATCCTCATAATAGAAGGCTACAGGTGAGTGGTACATCGTTTTGTTGCCAATGCCACATCATCTATACTTTCATGCAGCATGGGGAGACAGGGCGCCCTATCGTATAAGGCAACGCAATTTCACTGTGCAGAGTTGCTCGTTGGTTTTACCAAAGTATTGAATGTCTGAATCATGCATCACTTCAGGTTTTCCTCGCACGTTAAGCTGACACGCTGTGATATGATTGAATAATGTTCAAATCTAAATCCACCCCTAACTTTGATATTTAAACGTAGCAATAGATGGAAATAATAGACTTGGCGCCTATTTTAGACGATAGATAACCTTGATAGTTTACGAAGTGCCTCAGTTGTCTAATACGCGCAACTAGCTGTGCAGCGTGGGCATGACAGAAACCTATTTTCATGTGGGTTTGAATCCCAGTTCAACCAGATAATGTTTCAAGGTTTTGTCAGCAAAATGTTTGGGTTCCTTGTAGTGTCTTTGACATACATGTCATCAGGGGTTTCGCCCCTCATTAGACTGACATGCTGCAGTAGAAATCACCCACTCACTCACTCACTCACTCCTTATGATAGTTTCAGTTACCTGATAATCATAACCTTGTCCTAGTGGGGCCCATTTCCTCACACAGTAAGCCAGCGTCCTGAAGTTTTAAGGGTCCAAGGTAGCCCTTAAATACAGGGTGTATGGCCAATGCCAAGTAGGACCTATTGTCAGTGGCACCTGGTCAGGGCACCTGCTCATCGTCTCCATCTCTCTCTGTCCCCAGGTGCTGGAGATGTTTTCTAGTGAAGGAGACTTACATCTAGAACTCCCGTCAGGAGCAAAAGAGGCATCAAAAGAATTATGGGTAAAAAAAATTTAATTGTGATATTTAAAAAAAAAATGTGTTTTAGTATTTCAGGCATTTGCCAAAAGCAGTCTGATTCATCCTTTCAAAATGTTTAAAAGTGTGTTTAAAAATGAATTTTCGCCATTTGACCTTGATAGTTTTCTTCCTTGATTAACTTGACAGAAATTACATCCATTTGACCTTGATAGTTCTATCCCTTGATTGTCATGACAGGAATTTTAGCCATTTGATCTTGATAGTTCTCTCCCTTATTTACCTTGACAGGAATTACAGCCATTAGACCTTGATAGTTCTCTCCCTTATTTACCTTGACAGGAATTACAGCCATTAGACCTTGATAGTTCTCTCCCTTATTTACCTTGACAGGAATTACAGCCATTAGACCTTGATAGTTCTCTCCCTCATTTACCTTGACAGGAATTACAGCCATTAGACCTTGATAGTTCTCTCCTTTGATAACCTTGACAGGAATTACAGCCATTTGACCTTGATAGTTCTCTCCTTTGATAACCTTGACAGGAATTACAGCCATTAGACCTTGATAGTTCTCTCCCTTATTTACCTTGACAGGAATTACAGCCATTAGACCTTGATAGTTCTCTCCTTTGATAACCTTGACAGGAATTACAGCCATTTGACCTCGATAGTTCTCTCCCTTATTTACCTTGACAGGAATTACAGCCATTAGACCTTGATGGTTCTCTCCTTTGATAAGCTTGACAGGAATTACAGCCATTTGACCTTGATAGTTCTCTCCCTTATTTACCTTGACAGGAATTACAGCCATTTGACCTTGATAGTTCTCTCCTTTGATAACCTTGACAGGAATTACAGCCATTAGACCTTGATAGTTCTCTCCCTTATTTACCTTGACAGGAATTACAGCCATTTGACCTTGATAGTTCTCTCCCTTATTTACCTTGACAGGAATTACAGCCATTTGACCTTGATAGTTCTCTCCCTTATTTACCTTGACAGGAATTACAGCCATTTGACCTTGATAGTTCTCTCCCTTATTTACCTTGACAGGAATTACAGCCATTGGACCTTGATAGTTATCTCCTTTGATAACCTTGACAGGAATTACAGCCATTTGACCTTGATAGTTCTCTCCTTTGATAACCTTGACAGGAATTACAGCCATTTGACCTTGATAGTTCTCTCCCTTATTTACCTTGACAGGAATTACAGCCATTAGACCTTGATAGTTCTCTCCTTTGATAACCTTGACAGGAATTACAGCCATTTGACCTTGATAGTTCTCTCCTTTGATAACCTTGACAGGAATTACAGCCATTTGAGACTAAGCCTGTGATGCGGGCCAACTTTGTGGGTCGAGTAGAAAACAACCACACAGCATTTATCAGGATAAAAACAAACCAGGAGAGTGACTCCGAGATGCTGATACTGCCGGTGGAGGTGGAGGTGTCGTCAGGTAGGTCCGCTGTCAAGTCTGCAACACAGAGTGTCAAGTTGAAAATAAACATATATACATATAAACATGTTGATACAGCAATATTATCAGAAATGTAATGATACAGAAACTAGAACCCTGATGCATTCATTGTCCGATATTAATATGTGTTGTCAGATATGAAATAGAGCCTCAAAATGAGTTTTTGACGTCTTGGTATGGTGTCCTACAATTTAAGGTGTTTCTCCACCATAAATGAGACATTCAATTCATTTGACCATGTTTATTTACTATTATTGCCCTAAATTGTCGTTTACCATCTTTGTGAGCAGATGGAGTAAATTCACTAGACATTGGCTTAAGACAAGTAGCAACAGTCACAGAAGGACTAAATTATTTTGCTTTTTAACTGCATGAGGTTTAGAAAATATGATAAACAAGGATGATAAATTATAATCATTAGAATCATTAACTTTTTCACAAGCCTTAAATGTATTGTGTTCTTTGAACAACTGTCTGTAATTCTATCTATGGTAAGCGTAATTGATACTGATGATATGCTTTTGTCGATAGATCCATGCTGTCATTTCAATCAATAACATCTTAAATTACAAAAAGCACAATTTATACTTCATCACTCCAGTCATGTTCAACTCTGAATTCTGTGTCTAGAAACAGTGGCAATTTGAATCTTGTTAAAAGTGAGATAAAGGGGAGTTAATCAAGTGATGGCTTGTCATGTATCTCTGTGTCGCCCTGATGGCACAAACTGTAGCTCATACTGTAGCTCATACTATTGCTCATACTGTAGCTCATACTGTAGCTCATACTATTGCTCATACTATTGCTCATACTGTAGCTCATACTGTAGCTCATACTATTGCTCATACTGTAGCTCATACTGTAGCTCATACTATTGCTCATACTATTGCTCATACTGTAGCTCATACTATTGCTCATACTGTAGCTCATACTATTGCTCATACTGTAGCTCATACTATTGCTCATACTATTGCTCATACTGTAGCTCATACTATTGCTCATACTATTGCTCATACTGTAGCTCATACTGTAGCTCATACTATTGCTCATACTGTAGCTCATACTATTGCTCATACTGTAGCTCATACTATTGCTCATACTGTAGCTCATACTGTAGCTCATACTATTGCTCATACTGTAGCTCATACTGTAGCTCATACTATTGCTCATACTATTGCTCATACTGTAGCTCATACTATTGCTCATACTGTAGCTCATACTATTGCTCATACTGTAGCTCATACTATTGCTCATACTGTAGCTCATACTATTGCTCATACTATTGCTCATACTGTAGCTCATACTTTTGCTCATACTGTAGCTCATACTGTAGCTCATACTATTGCTCATACTGTAGCTCATACTATTGCTCATACTGTAGCTCATACTATTGCTCATACTGTAGCTCATACTGTAGCTCATACTGTAGCTCATACTATGGCTCATACTGTAGCTCATACTGTAGCTCATACTATTGCTCATACTGTAGCTCATACTATTGCTCATACTGTAGCTCATACCATTGCTCATACCATTGCTCATACTGTAGCTCATACTGTAGCTCATACTATTGCTCATACTGTAGCTCATACTGTAGCTCATACTATTGCTCATACTGTAGCTCATACTATTGCTCATACTGTAGCTCATACTATTGCTCATACTGTAGCTCATACTATTGCTCATACTATTGCTCATACTGTAGCTCATACTATTGCTCATACTGTAGCTCATACTTTTGCTCATACTGTAGCTCATACTGTAGCTCATACTATTGCTCATACTGTAGCTCATACTATTGCTCATACTGTAGCTCATACTATTGCTCATACTGTAGCTCATACTGTAGCTCATACTGTAGCTCATACTATGGCTCATACTGTAGCTCATACTGTAGCTCATACTATTGCTCATACTGTAGCTCATACCATTGCTCATACTGTAGCTCATACTGTAGCTCATACTATTGCTCATACTGTAGCTCATACTCTTGCTCATACTATTGCTCATACTGTAGCTCATACTCTTGCTCATACTGTAGCTCATACTATGGCTCATACTGTAGCTCATACTATTGCTCATTCTGTAGCTCATACTATGGCTCATACTGTAGCTTATACTCTTGCTCATACTGTAGCTCATACTATTGCTCATACTGTAGCTCATACTATTGCTCATACTGTAGCTCATACTATTGCTCATACTATTGCTCATACTGTAGCTCATACTGTAGCTCATACTATTGCTCATACTGTAGCTCATACTATTGCTCATACTGTAGCTCATACTATTGCTCATACTATTGCTCATACTATTGCTCATACTGTAGCTCATACTGTTGCTCATACTGTAGCTCATACTGTAGCTCATACTATTGCTCATACTGTAGCTCATACTGTAGCTCATACTATTGCTCATACTGTAGCTCATACTATTGCTCATACTGTAGCTCATACTGTAGCTCATACTATTGCTCATACTATTGCTCATACTGTAGCTCATACTATTGCTCATACTGTAGCTCATTCAATTTACGACATGGGTACAATGTGTTTAGACCATTTCTGATATCCCCTGCCATGATATTGCTGGAATATTGCTAAAAGCAACGTAAAACTAAACTCACTTACTCATACTGTTGCTCATACTGTTGCTCATACTGTTCCTCATACTGTTCCTCATACTGTTCCTCATACTGTCATGGGACTGACTGGACCACGCCCAGATCTTGATAGGCCAAGATCAGGATGTGACTGGAAAATTGCTCAGTGCAATGTTCAACAACATTTCTCATGTGACCCATGAATGGCAAGTTCTACTACATCTTGAGTGATGACATCCTGTTTGTCCTTCCAGAGCCAGGCATATACTCACCGATAGAGATGATAGATTTTGGTATTTTGAGGACGCTCGACAAACCCAAAGTTGTGAAGTTGAACCTCATCAATACAGGAGCAAAACCTATACATATCTCCGTGAGTACCTCCAGTAGAAGTCTCCATATCTCTGTGAGTACCTGTAGTAGAAGTCCCCATACCTCCGTGAGTACCTGTAGTAGAAGTCCCCATATCTCCATGAGTACCTCCAGTAGACGTCCCCATATCTCCGTGAGTACCTCCAGTAGAGGTCCCCATATCTCCATGAATACCTGTAGTAGAAGTCCCCATATCTCCGTGCATCCCTGTAGTAGAAGTCCCCATATCTCTGTGAGTACCTCCAGTAGAAGTCCCCATATCTCCATGAGTACCTTTAGTAGAAGTCCCCATATCTCCATGAGTACCTCCAGTAGAAGTCCCCATATCTCCGTGCATCCCTGTAGTAGAAGTCCCCATATCTCCATTTCCTCCAGTAGAGGTCCCCATATCTCTGTGAGTACCTCCAGGAGAAGTCCCCATATCTCTGTGAGTACCTCCAGTAGAGGTCCCCATATCTCCATGAGTACCAGTAGTAGAAGTCCCCATATCTCCGTGCATCCCTGTAGTAGAAGTCCCCATATCTCCGTGCATCCCTGTAGTAGAGGTCCCCTTATCTCCGTGCATCCCTGTAGTAGAGGTCCCCGTGAGTACCTGTAGTATCTCCGGGAGTACCTGTAGTATCTCCGGGAGTACCTGAAGTAGTCCAGGTTAGTCCTGCCATGTTGGATCACTGAACTGAAGCAGTTAAGACATAAGGGCATTAGTATGTTCTGTACCCCTTAGCCCAAGGTAAATACTTATAAACAAAGAATGGTTGAGATTTCCCATGTTGCGTCACAGTTTGGATGAATCATCTATTTATGACTCGTTCTGTTGGTTGAGCTTGTGTACCCTCCTTCACCTGTACTCTCAATGTCTTCTCTCTCACAGAGTGTGAATGTGTCGCCTAGCAACGATGCTGTTAGCATAGACTTCCGACCTATAAAGCTGCAGCCAGACCCAGGGAGGCAGGTCACAGTTGCACATATCACATACAACGGTGAGTTGTCACACAGGTAGCACATGTCACATACAATGGTGAGTTGTCACACAGGTATCACATGTCACATACAACGGTGAGTTGTCACACACAATGGGGAGTTGTCACACATATAGCACTTGTCACATACAACGGTGAGTTGTCACACAGGTAGCACATATCACATACGACGGTGAGTTGTCACACAGGTAGCACATGTCACATAAAATGGTGAGTTGTCACACAGGTAGCACATATCACATACAACGGTGAGTTGTCACACATATAGCACTTGTCACATACAACTGTGAGTTGTCACACAGGTAGCACATATCACATACAACTGTGAGTTGTCACACATATAGCACTTGTCACATACAATGGGGAGTTGTCACACAGGTAGCACATATCACATACAACGGTGAGTTGTCACACATATAGCACTTGTCACATACAATGGGGAGTTGTCACACATATAGCACTTGTCAGATACAACGGTGAGTTGTCACACATATAGCACTTGTCACATACAATGGGGAGTTGTCACACATATAGCACTTGTCACATACAACGGTGAGTTGTCACACAGGTAGCACATATCACATACAACGGTGAGTTGTCACACAGGTAGCACATATCACATACAACGGTGAGTTGTCACACAGGTAGCACATGTCACATACAACTGTGAGTTGTCACACAGGTAGCACATATCACATACAACGGTGAGTTGTCACACAGGTAGCACATATCACATACAACGGTGAGTTGTCACACAGGTAGCACATGTCCTTAGAGCGATAAGTTGTCACACATATAGCACTTGTCACATACAATGGGGAGTTGTCACACATATAGCACTTGTCACATACAACTGTGAGTTGTCACACAGGTAGCACATATCACATACAACGGTGAGTTGTCACACATATAGCACTTGTCACATACAACTGTTAGTTGTCACACAGGTAGCACATATCACATACAACGGTGAGTTGTCACACATATAGCACTTGTCACATACAACTGTGAGTTGTCACACAGGTAGCACATATCACATACAACTGTGAGTTGTCACACAGGTAGCACATATCACATACAACGGTGAGTTGTCACACAGGTAGCACATATCACATACAACGGTGAGTTGTCACACAGGTAGCACATATCACATACAACGGTGAGTTGTCACACAGGTAGCACATATCACATACAACGGTGAGTTGTCACACATATAGCACTTGTCACATACAATGGGGAGTTGTCACACATATAGCACTTGTCACATACAATGGTGAGTTGTCACACAGGTAGCACATATCACATACAACGGTGAGTTGTCACACATATAGCACTTGTCACATACAACTGTGAGTTGTCACACAGGTAGCACATATCACATACAACTGTGAGTTGTCACACAGGTAGCACATATCACATACAACGGTGAGTTGTCACACATATAGCACTTGTCACATACAATGGGGAGTTGTCACACATATAGCACTTGTCACATACAACTGTGAGTTGTCACACAGGTAGCACATCACATACAACGGTGAGTTGTCACACATATAGCACTTGTCACATACAACGGTGAGTTGTCACACAGGTAGCACATATCACATACAACGGTGAGTTGTCACACAGGTAGCACATATCACATACAACTGTGAGTTGTCACACAGGTAGCACATATCACATACAACTGTGAGTTGTCACACAGGTAGCACATATCACATACAACGGTGAGTTGTCACACAGGTAGCACATATCACATACAACGGTGAGTTGTCACACATATAGCACTTGTCACATACAACTGTTAGTTGTCACACAGGTAGCACATATCACATACAACGGTGAGTTGTCACACATATAGCACTTGTCACATACAACTGTGAGTTGTCACACAGGTAGCACATATCACATACAACTGTGAGTTGTCACACAGGTAGCACATATCACATACAACGGTGAGTTGTCACACAGGTAGCACATATCACATACAACGGTGAGTTGTCACACAGGTAGCACATATCACATACAACGGTGAGTTGTCACACAGGTAGCACATATCACATACAACGGTGAGTTGTCACACATATAGCACTTGTCACATACAATGGGGAGTTGTCACACATATAGCACTTGTCACATACAATGGTGAGTTGTCACACAGGTAGCACATATCACATACAACGGTGAGTTGTCACACATATAGCACTTGTCACATACAACTGTGAGTTGTCACACAGGTAGCACATATCACATACAACTGTGAGTTGTCACACAGGTAGCACATATCACATACAACGGTGAGTTGTCACACATATAGCACTTGTCACATACAATGGGGAGTTGTCACACATATAGCACTTGTCACATACAACTGTGAGTTGTCACACAGGTAGCACATCACATACAACGGTGAGTTGTCACACATATAGCACTTGTCACATACAACGGTGAGTTGTCACACAGGTAGCACATATCACATACAACGGTGAGTTGTCACACAGGTAGCACATATCACATACAACTGTGAGTTGTCACACAGGTAGCACATATCACATACAACTGTGAGTTGTCACACAGGTAGCACATATCACATACAACGGTGAGTTGTCACACAGGTAGCACATATCACATACAACGGTGAGTTGTCACACAGGTAGCACATGTCCATAGAGCAATAAGTTGTCACACATATAGCACTTGTCACATACAATGGGGAGTTGTCACACAAGTAGCACATGTCACATACCACGATAAGTTGTCACACAAGAAGCACATGTCCATAGAGCGATAAGTTGTCACGCAAGTAGCACTTGTCACATACCACGATGAGTTGTCACACAAGTAGCACGTCACAACGATGAGTTGTCACACTAGAAGCACGTCACACAATAGTGTGTTACCATGGTTACCTATGTGGAACCCTCCTGCCAGTGTCGGCTTCCAACAGTGATCTGGGTGCTCATCAGCGACAGGGCAGTCGGGTAGTGGTTTAAGCGTTGGCTCGTCACGCCGAAGACCCGGGTTCGATTCCCGACGTGGGTACAATGTGTGAAGCCCATTTCTGGTGTCCACCGTCGTGATATTGCAGGAATATTGCTAAAAGCGGCGTAGATCCTGTAATACTATTACAACCATTTCAGTTTTATATAACCTAGTTTTCTATCATTAGTAACATGGGTGTATATATCTTTGTAAAAGAAATCTCATTTTTATCAAGTTTGCAAAATATTTCGTTTGATAAACTTTCTGACATTGGCCTGTTGTTGACAAGCCGACCAACATAAGAAACATGTTTGGGGCGTGGCCTAACTCGCAACTTGTTCAGTTGAACAAAGTCAACAAACAAAATATTTTATGATACGCAAAATCTGAACTTATATACATTATAGGAAAACCATTCAGTAGAAAAATAATGCAAAAATACTCACAATTTAACAGTCGTTGCTGAAACCAGAAGCACGTACCGCATCTCACACATTGAGGCAAAATATGCAAAAGTTTCTCAAACTACCGTCGATATATTCCGAAAAAGATTCATCAGAAATTACATAATTTAATATCTTTCATCAACTGTTTACTATGATTGACCTGGGTAGCAGTCTCCACTCTGATGTTTTATATTTCTTCGTGATCGCTGCCAATGCTTAACATCAATTTGTTCGTATTTCTGCAAAGTTTGTGTTCACTTTGGTCTTGACCCTGGTATGATTGAAAATATCGGGGTATTTTTATATAGTAATGTGTAGTTTTCTATCAGGAACAAATGTGTCAAGTAATTCTTCAATTGGCCTTTGTTTTATGAAGCACCGACTGTTCGAAATCACCCACCCCCTTGAAATTAATGCAGCAGGTAGGGGTAAGAAGTGTGAAAACAATTCAGCAGGCTAAACTAATCTATATACTGCAGTAAACCTCACACAAGGGCTTGCTTTAAAGCATAGGTAGTCGCCTCTACTGAAGTGATCCTAATGTCAGTAGAGGTGCCTGACATTGAACATGATGGTCCTAATACATCAATCTGGTCTTGTTATGGCTTATGATAAACAGCTGTATTATGAATAAACATTTTTTCTTTCCAGCTGTCAAAGCATTTCACCCGAAGCAGTGGTCTGGGAAACTTGTCATCAGAACAAAGAACAACTTCCACAAACTGATAATCCCCTTCCGGGCAAATGTCCTGCATGGGTAGGAACGTTTCCAGTCTCTTCTTGTAACATGAAACTGTTTGTCTACTTAACATGAAACTGTGTTGGTCTACTAAACATGAAACTGTGTTGGTCTACTAAACATGAAACTGTGTTTGTCTACTAAACATGAAACTGTGTTGGTCTACTAAACATGAAACTGTGTTTGTCTACTAAACATGAAACTGTCTTTGTCTACTATACATGAGAAACAGCTGTGTTTGTCTACTAAACATGAAACTGTGTTGGTCTACTAAACATGAAACTGTGTTTGTCTACTGAACATGAAACTGTCTTTGTCTACTATACATGAGAAACAGCTGTGTTTGTCTACTAAACATGAAACTGTGTTGGTCTACTAAACATGAAACTGTGTTTGTCTACTAAACATGAAACTGTCTTTGTCTACTATACATGAGAAACAGCTGTGTTTGTCTACTAAACATGAAACTGTGTTGGTCTACTAAACATGAAACTGTGTTTGTCTACTAAACATGAAACTGTCTTTGTCTACTATACATGAGAAACAGCTGTGTTTGTCTACTAAACATGAAACTGTGTTGGTCTACTAAACATGAAACTGTCTTTGTCTACTATACATGAGAAACAGCTGTGTTTGTCTACTAAACATGAAACTGTGTTGGTCTACTAAACATGAAACTGTGTTTGTCTACTAAACATGAAACTGTCTTTGTCTACTATACATGAGAAACAGCCGTGTTGGTCTACTAAACATGAAACTGTGTTGGTCTACTAAACATGAAACAGCTGTGTTTGTCTACTATACATGAAACAGCTGTGTTGGTCTACTATACATGAAACAGTTGTGTTGGTCTACTATACATGAAACAGCTGTGTTGGTCTACTATACATGAAACAGCTGTGTTGGTCTGCTATACATGAAACAGTTGTGTTGGTCTCCTATACATGAAACAGCTGTGTTGGTCTACTATACATGAAACAGCTGTGTTGGTCTACTATACATGAAACAGTTGTGTTGGTCTACTATACATGAAACAGTTGTGTTGGTCAACTATACATGAAACAGCTGTGTTGGTCTGCTATACATGAAACAGCTGTGTTGGTCTACTCAACATGAAACATTTGTGAAGGTCTACTATACATGAAACAGCTGTGTAGGTCTTCTATATATGAAACAGCTGTGTTGGTCTACTATGTATGTGAAACAGCTGTGTGGGTCTACTATGTACGTGAAACAGCTGTGTTGGTCTACTATGTATGTGAAACAGCTGTGTTGGTCTACTATGTATGTGAAACAGCTGTGTGGGTCTACTATGTACGTGAAACAGCTGTGTGGGTCTACTATGTATGTGAAACAGCTGTGTTGGTCTACTATGTATGTGAAACAGCTGTGTTGGTCTACTATGTATGTGAAACAGCTGTGTGGGTCTACTATGTACGTGAAACAGCTGTGTTGGTCTACTATGTAGGTGAAACAGCTGTGTGGGTCTACTATGTACGTGAAACAGCTGTGTTGGTCTACTATGTATGTGAAACAGCTGTGTTGGTCTACTATGTATGTGAAACAGCTGTGTTGGTCTACTATGTACGTGAAACAGCTGTGTGGGTCTACTATGTATGTGAAACAGCTGTGTTGGTCTACTATGTATGTGAAACAGCTGTGTTGGTCTACTATGTATGTGAAACAGCTGTGTGGGTCTACTATGTATGTGAAACAGCTGTGTTGGTCTACTATGTATGTGAAACAGCTGTGTTGGTCTACTATGTATGTGAAACAGCTGTGTTGGTCTACTATGTATGTGAAACAGCTGTGTGGGTCTACTATGTATGTGAAACAGCTGTGTGGGTCTACTATGTATGTGAAACAGCTGTGTTGGTCTACTATGTACGTGAAACAGCTGTGTGGGTCTACTATGTATGTGAAACAGCTGTGTTGGTCTACTATGTATGTGAAACAGCTGTGTTGGTCTACTATGTATGTGAAACAGCTGTGTTGGTCTACTATGTATGTGAAACAGCTGTGTGGGTCTACTATGTATGTGAAACAGCTGTGTGGGTCTACTATGTATGTGAAACAGCTGTGTGGGTCTACTATGTATGTGAAACAGCTGTGTGGGTCTACTATGTACGTGAAACAGCTGTGTTGGTCTACATGAGACCTGCATATGAGTACTATGTGTGAGTAATATAGAAATAGTAGAAATTGGCACTAGTCCTGTTGTCCTACCAAAACTGCCCAATAGTTACGAGTTAAAATTTGCCTTTTTTAAGGTTTTTGCTATATGTTATCAATATAAGGACTATTGGAGTAAAAATGTTAGTTTCTATCGCTGAATATGTGTGAGTACTACATGTGAGACCTATGTGTGAGTACTACATGTGAGACCTATGTGTGAGTACTACGTGTGAGTACTACATGTGAGACCTATGTGTGAGTACTACATGTGAGACCTATGTGTGAGTACTACATGTGAGACCTATGTGTGAGTACTACGTGTGAGACCTATGTGTGAGTACTACGTGTGAGTACTACATGTGAGACCTATGTGTGAGTACTACATGTGAGACCTATGTGTGAGTACTACATGTGAGACCTATATGTGAGTACTACGTGTGAGTACTACATGTGTGACCTATGTGTGAGTACTACATGTGTGACCTATGTGTGAGTACTACGTGTGAGTATTACATGTGAGACCTATGTGTGAGTACTACGTGTGTGACCTATGTGTGAGTACTACGTGTGAGACCTATGTGTGAGTACTACATGTGAGACCTATGTGTGAGTACTACGTGTGAGACCTATGTGTGAGTACTACGTGTGAGACCTACGTGTGAGTACTACGTGTGAGTACTATGTGTGAGTACTACGTGTGAGTACTACGTGTGAGACCTACATGTGAGACCTGTGTGTGGGTACAGTGTGTGAGTCCTTCATGTGAGTCCTTCATGTTAGTCTAATGAGTCCACCTGATGTGTCAGTCCTGTGCATGAGTCTTACATGGGTGGTTGTGTTGCAGGTCACTGGTATGTGTGAGTACTACATGTTAGTCTAATGAGTCCGCCTGATGTGTCAGTCCTGTGCATGAGTCTTACATGGGTGGTTGTGTTGCAGGTCACTGGTATGTGTGAGTACTACATGTTAGTCTAATGAGTCCGCCTGATGTGTCAGTCCTGTGCATGAGTCTTACATGGGTGGTTGTGTTGCAGGTCACTGGTATGTGTGAGTACTACATGTTAGTCTAATGAGTCCGCCTGATGTGTCAGTCCTGTGCATGAGTCTTACATGGGTGGTTGTGTTGCAGGTCACTGGTATGTGTGAGTACTACATGTTAGTCTAATGAGTCCGCCTGATGTGTCAGTCCTGTGCATGAGTCTTACATGGGTGGTTGTGTTGCAGGTCACTGGTATGTGTGAGTACTACATGTTAGTCTAATGAGTCCGCCTGATGTGTCAGTCCTGTGCATGAGTCTTACATGGGTGGTTGTGTTGCAGGTCACTGGTATGTGTGAGTACTACATGTTAGTCTAATGAGTCCGCCTGATGTGTCAGTCCTGTGCATGAGTCTTACATGGGTGGTTGTGTTGCAGGTCACTGGTATGTGTGAGTACTACATGTTAGTCTAATGAGTCCGCCTGATGTGTCAGTCCTGTGCATGAGTCTTACATGGGTGGTTGTGTTGCAGGTCACTGGTATGTGTGAGTACTACATGTTAGTCTAATGAGTCCGCCTGATGTGTCAGTCCTGTGCATGAGTCTTACATGGGTGGTTGTGTTGCAGGTCACTGGTATGTGTGAGTACTACATGTGAGTCTAATGAGTCCGCCTGATGTGTCAGTCCTGTGCATGAGTCTTACATGGGTGGTTGTGTTGCAGGTCACTGGTATGTGTGAGTACTACATGTGAGTCTAATGAGTCCGCCTGATGTGTCAGTCCTGTGCATGAGTCTTACATGGGTGGTTGTGTTGCAGGTCACTGGTATGTGTGAGTACTACATGTGAGTCTAATGAGTCCGCCTGATGTGTCAGTCCTGTGCATGAGTCTTACATGGGTGGTTGTGTTGCAGGTCACTGGTATACAATGTCAACACCACCTACTACTTTAGTGCAAAAGCCCTGAAGAACGTCACACGGCCGATGATGTTCACAAACACCTTCAATTTCTCCATAGTCATCTTCAACGTCACACTTCCTGCTGACGTAGCCCAGTTCTTTTCTGTAAGTGCATACATGTCATACAGGTGAATCTAGTTGGGATGTAGTGCTTGATCAGACTATCATACTTGTTCATCATGCTCTCTCTCGGCACAAGAAGTTTATGGTATTGTGACATCACTTTGTAATATTATTGTGTACCCCCTTTGTAACATTACCTGCACAGATGTATTGTATGCAGCACAACTCTATAGCTGTGTTGTACACACTGATATTGTCTTTTTGTTCTCTTGTTTTGTATATAGGCCGGAGGCCTTAAGTACATAAAAACATCTTAACTCTTGACTCACTCTTGACTATCATACATTGCAGTTATCTATGGACCGATCACAATACATCATTTAGAATTTGAAATATTATTGGTTAACATTGATAATACACTTGATTATCTGAAGTTATGATGAAGAAATCAAAAGCATGTGTATCAGTAGATTTTCAATGCATGACAATGCATGACAATACACGGCAATACATGACAATGAACAACAATGCACAATAATGCATGACAATACATGACAATGCACAACAATACAGGACAATACATGACAACACTTGGTGTGTCTGTTGCAGATCTTCAACTTTACTCAGCCTGTGTTGCTGCAACCCCAGCAAATGGCCACGCCCTTCCTGGTCAAGTTCCATCCCAACGAGACGCAGCTGCACTTCAACACAGTGCTCACTATACACTCAAATGCATCCACTTTCCAGATTCCTATCATCGTCTATAACGGGCTGTTCAAGGTAGGGGCACATTAAACCGGAATATTACATGTGATTTAACATCAGTTTATGCGAGGATATTACATGTGTTATAACATTGCTATATACAGGATGTTACATGTAACACTACATCATTATGTACCATGTTCTTACATTTTATACAGCATCGATATATATATATATACCAGTATGTTATGTTGGGTATAACATGTTTGTTTGTTTGTTTGTTGTTTAACACCGCACTCAGCAATAATCCAGCTATATGAAGGCGGTCTGTAAATTATCGAGTCTGGACCAGACAATCCATTGATTGACATCATGAGCATCAATCCACTCAATTGGAATTGATGACAGTATAACATAGAGGATGTTTGTCCTACTGTATGCTTGTAGGATTGTCTTACTGTATGTTGGGGGTTTGTCTCACTGTTTGCTGGAAGGTTTGTTGTGCTGTATCCTGGGGGGGGTTGTCTTACTGTATGTTGGGGGTTTGTCTCACTGTTTGCTGGAAGGTTTGTTGTGCTGTATCCTGGGGGGGTTTGTCTCACTGTATGTTAGGGGTTTGTCTTAGTGTTTGCTGGAAGGTTTGTTGTGCTGTATCCTGGGGGGGGGGTTGTCTTACTGTATGTTGGGGGGTTTGTCTCACTGTTTGCTGGAAGGTTTGTTGTGCTGTATACTGGGAGGTTTGTCTCACTGTTTGCTGGAAGGTTTGTTGTGCTGTATCCTGGGGGGGGTTGTCTTACTGTATGTTGGGGGTTTGTCTCACTGTTTGCTGGAAGGTTTGTTGTGCTGTATGCTGGGGGGGGGGGGGGGGGGGGGGGGTTGTCTTACTGTATGTTGGGGGTTTGTCTCACTGTTTGCTGGAAGGTTTGTTGTGCTGTATCCTGGGGGGGTTTGTCTCACTGTATGTTGGGGGTTTGTCTTACTGTTTGCTGGAAGGTTTGTTGTGCTGTATGCTGGGGGGTTTGTCTCACTGTTTGCTGGAAGGTTTGTTGTGCTGTATCCTGGGGGGGGTTGTCTTACTGTATGTTGGGGGTTTGTCTCACTGTTTGCTGGAAGGTTTGTTGTGCTGTATCCTAGGGGGGTTTGTCTCACTGTATGTTAGGGGTTTGTCTTACTATTTGCTGGAAGGTTTGTTGTGCTGTATGCTGGGGGGTTTGTCTTACTGTTTGCTGGAAGGTTTGTTGTGCTGTATCCTGGGGGGTTTGTCTCACTGTATGTTAGGGGTTTGTCTCACTGTTTGCTGGAAGGTTTGTTGTGCTGTGTACTGGGAGGTTTGTCTCACTGTTTGCTGGAAGGTTTGTTGTGCTGTATACTGGGGGGTTTGTCTCACTGTTTGCTGGAAGGTTTGTTGTGCTGTATACTGGGAGGTTTGTCTCACTGTTTGCTGGAAGGTTTGTTGTGCTGTATCCTGGGGGGGGTTGTCTTACTGTATGTTGGGGGTTTGTCTCACTGTTTGCTGGAAGGTTTGTTGTGCTGTATCCTGGGGGGGGGGTTGTCTTACTGTATGTTGGGGGTTTGTCTCACTGTTTGCTGGAAGGTTTGTTGTGCTGTATCCTAGGGGGGTTTGTCTCACTGTATGTTAGGGGTTTGTCTTACTGTTTGCTGGAAGGTTTGTTGTGCTGTATGCTTGGGGGTTTGTCTTACTGTTTGCTGGAAGGTTTGTTGTGCTGTATCCTGGGGGGTTTGTCTCACTGTATGTTAGGGGTTTGTCTCACTGTTTGCTGGAAGGTTTGTTGTGCTGTATCCTGGGGGGGGTTTGTCTCACTGTATGTTAGGGGTTTGTCTTACTGTTTGCTGGAAGGTTTGTTGTGCTGTATACTGGAGGGGTGGTTGTCTTACTGTATGTTAGGGGTTTGTCTTACTGTTTGCTGGAAGGTTTGTTGTGCTGTATACTGGAGGGGGGTTTGTCTCACTGTATGTTAGGGGTTTGTCTCACTGTTTGCTGGAAGGTTTGTTGTGCTGTATCCTGGGGGGGGTTTGTCTCACTGTATGTTAGGGGTTTGTCTTACTGTTTGCTGGAAGGTTTGTTGTGCTGTATACTGGAGGAGGGGTTGTCTTACTGTATGTTAGGGGTTTGTCTTACTGTTTGCTGGAAGGTTTGTTGTGCTGTATACTGGAGGGGGGGGTTGTCTTACTGTTTGCTGGAAGGTTTGTTGTGCTGTATGCTGGGGGGTTTGTCTCACTGTTTGCTGGAAGGTTTGTTGTGCTGTATCCTGGGGGGTTTGTCTTACTGTATGTTAGGGGTTTGTCTCACTCTTTGCTGGAAGGTTTGTTGTGCTGTATCCTGGGGGGTTTGTCTCACTGTATGTTAGGGGTTTGTCTTAGTGTTTGCTGGAAGGTTTGTTGTGCTGTATCCTGGGGGGGGGTTGTCTTACTGTATGTTGGGGGTTTGTCTCACTGTTTGCTGGAAGGTTTGTTGTGCTGTATCCTGGTGGGTTTGTCTCACTGTATGTTAGGGGTTTGTCTTAGTGTTTGCTGGAAGGTTTGTTGTGCTGTATGCTGGGGGGGGGGGGTTGTCTTACTGTATGTTGGGGGTTTGTCTCACTGTTTGCTGGAAGGTTTGTTGTGCTGTATGCTGTGGGTTTTGTCTCACTGTATGTTAGGGGTTTGTCTTACTGTTTGCTGGAAGGTTTGTTGTGCTGTATGCTGGGGGGGGGGGGGTTGTCTTACAGTATCCTGGGGGGTTGTCTTACTGTATGCTGGAAGGTTTGTTGTGCTGTATGCTGGGGGGGGGGGGGGGGGGTTGTCTTACAGTATCCTGGGGGGTTGTCTCACTGTTTGCTGGAAGGTTTGTTGTGCTGTATGCTGGGGGGGGGGGGGGGGGGGGGGGTTGTCTTACGGTATCCTGGGGAGTTTGTCTTACTGTAGGATTGTAGGATTGTCTTACGGTATCCTGGGGGGTTGTCTCACTGTTTGCTGGAAGGTTTGTTGTGCTGTATGCTGGGGGGGGGTTGTCTTACGGTATCCTGGGGAGTTTGTCTTACTGTAGGATTGTAGGATTGTCTTACGGTGTCCTGGGGGGTTTGTCTCACTGTAGGATTGTAGGATTGTCTTACGGTATCCTCGGGGGTTTGTCTTACTGTTTGCTGGAAGGTTTGTTGTGCTGTATGCTGGGGGGGGGGGGGTTGTCTTACAGTATCCTGGGGGGGTTGTCTTACGGTATCCTGGGGGGTTTGTCTCACTGTATGCTGGAAGGTTTGTTGTGCTGTGTGCTGGGGGGGGGGGGTTGTCTTACAGTATCCTGGGGGGTTTGTCTTACTGTATACTGGAAGGTTTGTTGTGCTGTATGCTGGGGGGGGGGGGTTGTCTTACAGTATCCTGGGGGAGTTGTCTTACGGTATCCTGGGGGGTTTGTCTCACTGTATGCTGGAAGGTTTGTTGTGCTGTATGCTGGGGGGTGGGGTTGTCTTACAGTATCCTGGGGGGTTTGTCTTACTGTATGCTGGAAGGTTTGTTGTGCTGTATCCTTGGGGGGGTTGTCTTACAGTATCCTGGGGTGTTGTCTCACTGTTTGCTGGAAGGTTTGTTGTGCTGTATACTGGAGGGGGGGTTGTCTTACTGTATGTTGGGGGTTTGTCTTACTGTTTGCTGGAAGGTTTGTTGTACTGTATGCTGGGGAGGGGTTGTCTCACTGTATGTTGGGGGTTTGTCTTACTGTTTGCTGGAAGGTTTGTTGTACTGTATGCTGGGGGGGGGGTTGTCTCACTGTATGTTGGGGGTTTGTCTTACTGTTTGCTGGAAGGTTTGTTGTGCTGTATACTGGAGGGGGGGTTGTCTTACTGTATGTTGGGGGTTTGTCTTACTGTTTGCTGGAAGGTTTGTTGTACTGTATGCTGGGGGGGGTTGTCTTACAGTATCCTGGGGGGTTTGTCTTACTGTTTGCTGGAAGGTTTGTTGTGCTGTAAGCTGGGGGGGTTGTCTTACTGTATGCTGGAAGGTTTGTTGTGCTGTAAGCTGGGGGGGTTGTCTTACTGTATGCTGGAAGGTTTGTTGTGCTGTATCCTTGGGGGGGTGTTTGTCTTACGGTATCCTGGGAGGTTTGTCTTACTGTATGTTGTGGGGTTGTCTCACTGTATGTTGGGGGTTTGTCTTACTGAGTAGTATAGGTAATGGGGGTTCTGGACCACTTCCACTGTAGCTGGATTTATATACCTATACTGCTACTACAGATGGAATTTTTTATGTCAAAATGAATTATGTGATTTAATGATAGTCATGAGATTAAGTTAAATTGGCTCCAGTTCACCACCACCTGGGGCCAATGATATAAATTTTTATAGGTAATAAGGGTTCTAGCTCACTTCCACTGTAGCTGGATTTATTACCTATACTGCTACTATAGGAGGAATTTTTTATGTTAAAATGATAATGTGATTCAACGATGAGTCTAAATGTGATCAAACGATAGTAAGCAATCTATTTTTAATCTCCAACCAGTTCTTTGGTTTTGACACGGAATAACTGACGCGCTTGTTGCCTCCCCTGTTCTATGAACCTTTTTTTCTCGTCTTCGCTAATACCACTGGTCTTACGAGATTTTGATCGAATCTCCTGCTTCATTGCATTGTATTTGGTGAGTTCCGACAGCACTAAACGAAACTCATCCTCGGATATCTTACAATCGGCCATTGCTGTTGAAATATGATCCTCAATGCTGTTCAACTTTGCTTCGGCGAGTATCCGAATACTATCGTGTTTTAATGCTTTCTTTTGTAACCTACGAGAAATGAATCTTATCGCTATTCCTGCCAGTCCCGAGACTCCAGCGGTTATTTCCATGCCGAGCACGATAGGTGCGGCGATTATAGTTGATAGTAAACCGATACCCGCTACACCGAGTCCCATACCAGATACTACAAGCGCGGTGTCAACTCCATCCAGAGCATTCACGACTTTGCGATACTTTTTATACAATCCAAGTCTCAACTCCCTATCCTTCCCTATTCGATGTTTTATGTCTTTTATTTGATGTAATCGAAATCCATCAACAGTTTCCATCTTTTCAAATGCTTCACCGA